TGTGTGTGTGTGTGTGTGTGTGTGTGTGTGTGTGTAAGAGAGAGATCAAGACACAGACACACACAGAGAAGTAAGTATTCATGGCTGATAAGACTTGTCTCTGTGTTTTTAACAAAACTATTGCGGCCTATCAGTGTAAAGTCTGTGTTATTAACATAAAGGTGTTAGCCACAAACCATTTTCTTAAGGGAACTTGAAATGGATTCAATGAGTAAAAGCAGGACTAACCTGATTTTCATTCCCACTGACAGCATCTGGGATAAAAAATGGAGAAACCAAAGTTAAAATCATGTAAAATATTTAGTAAATGAAACAAATAATTCACGCAATGCAATGTTTAGACTGCTTTAATGACAATGTATTCTAAAACCATAAATTACCTTGAACACATTAAGATTTATGATAGCAAATAAAATAAGGGCAATGTACCAGGATACTAGCTTGCACACTCTCAAACACAATCACTTAGAAAGGTGCTAATCACTTAGAAATGAATGCTAATGCTTTCTACCCCACTTAGAATATTAACTTCAAATGAAAGCAATCAAAGAGTAAAGAATGGCATTCTCCCTTTATAAATTTCAACACAATGAAGATCCAAAGTGCATGACTCCATTTTAATATAACAACATACAAGGTAATATGGAGTTTAAATTGTGTATACACATAAAATATCATTTTCTGAATTCTGGCTGTGCTACATCCTTATTACAGAGGCAAATATCGTATATATGTCCAAAAGTATGATTAGTTATAACCACATATTATTGTGCTTTCTCATTGACTGACTCTTATACCCACATACTTAAATTAGGAAACTGGACATCATTTGGGTACAATGATCTCATTGACTTTTCTCTGAGGTTCTCTTTTTTAAATTCAATGTTCAGAGATATACAAACCTATGCAATCTATGTTCCCCTAGTAATCAAACAACAAGTGCAAACATTTATCTTCTAGCTTTCATAAAAATCCTTCATGTTTAAGAGCAATAATTTCACTCATAATTTGAAAATAAAGTAAATCTATAAGATAATACTGGTTTAAAATAGGAATAAATAATATAATTTATTTTTAAAATATTTATGCAGTATTAAAATACATATGTTAATATAAGTTTCAAGCGTGCAGTATCTATAAGTAGTATGAATTGATGCCTGGTGAATGAAAGATGCAGAATAGTTTGTTAGCTTTTCAGAACTAGTATTTTGAAAATAAAGTAAATCTATAAGATAATACTGGTTTAAAATAGGAATAAATAATATAATTTATTTTTAAAATATTTATGCAGTATTAAAATACATATGTTAATATAAGTTTCAAGCGTGCAGTATCTATAAGTAGTATGAATTGATGCCTGGTGAATGAAAGATGCAGAATAGTTTGTTAGCTTTTCAGAACTAGTATGAGGTTAACAGAAGGGCTTCTCATGGGTAAATGATTCAATTGTTCTCAAAGTACTTGTCATTTTTAATGATAGCATAGCTACTAATACATATAACTTCAAATCCATGTCTGGAAAGATATTTCAGGATTTTGCTATATATACGTACACATACTTTTGGGGATGGGGTTGGAGGAGAACAGTCCCTTCTCTAGGACTTTTAGATGTGTGGCAAGAAATTTCTATTGCGTGCAAATTGCTCACCTTGTATGAGGTAAAAAGCCAGGGTCAGAAGCATTGGCACTGTGACTGTCTTCATGTTGAGGATTATGTAAGTCGGTTACAGGTCTGCTCTGTGCATTGCTCAGCTGGTGCTCTGAGACTGAACTCATCAGATGCAGCTCGCTTTTATATATACTGGCAAGTACTGGTCACACACACACACACACACACACACACACACACGCACGCACACAAAAACCAGTTGTTCAGGCTTGGGCTTGACTCCTCATACCGCACCAGTTTAGCTTTCATCCTTTAGGATCCTGTCAGGTGTCAGATTTAAGCAGATAATATCTGTTCCCAAGACAGTAACATGTTTTCATACCACTCATCTCCATAAATCTAGGGAAAGGATACCTAAATATGTAAAGCTGTGTATTTCTAATTCTATAGAGGAACTGAATTCTGCTGTGACGCTAGGGATTTGTGTGCTCATAGACAAACACATCTCTCTCTAACAGGGCTTCCTTCATAAGTGAGAGGGAAGGAGAAAAGAAGAGAGATTGGTTGCACTACAAGTGAGGTAAGAGTTTAAAGATTTCTTTGTCCGAAGAGATCTGCTCCTAATGAGAGTTGGGCTTCCCACTGACTCCAGTCATAGACACCCTAAAGTGTCTGACTTAGTTGACATACATCCTTCACAAGGTTGGCATTCTTCTCACACCATACACTGCTTCACCCATATTCACCAGTAAAGGCAAATGCTTTTAGAAAATATGTCTTGTAAATAACTACTTTAAAGAAATTATCTTGGGGATGGAGGTTGCAGTTCAGTAGTAGAGCCCTAGCCTAGCATGTGAAAGACCATAGATTTGATCCCCACCACCATAAAAGTAATTCTCAATCAAAAGAATATTTTATCCTAACCATACAGCATGTTCTTAAATCTTAGAGCTTGAAGATTTAACTTTCCATAACCATGAAGGTTGATAATACTCTGTGAGAAATAAAATGTAACTAGGTTTTTCCTAGATTAAGTTTATTTTTATATTATTTGGCTTTCCTGGAAAGAAAAAAAGTTTATTGAATTTTATACAGAGATATAACCATTTTCCCTAACATGCTGCTCACTTTTATTCCATTCTACAAGCAGTACTTTTTAATCTGTCAGCTTACTTTACACTGCTGGCTTAACTCTCCCATCTGAAGGCTGCGCAAAATATAACTGAAGCCAGAACCAAAAATGTTCAGATTCCAGTAACTCTGAAGTTCTCCATATATATAGAAAGAGTCCAGAAATTTAAGTGATCAATATATTCTCAGCATTATCAAGATCAGACATTGTCTTTCATTTTCTCCCATGAAATAACTTATAGCCTAACATATAACCATTAGCTACTAATCTTGTAGTAGTTTTATCATTTTCCAATGTCTACTAAAAGGAGTGACCACAGACAGAAAGATCAAATTGTGTTGTCACAGATTTGAAAAACAAAGTCCATTATAACTTAATGGAAAGAGAATGGGGCAGGAAGTCAGGCAGTCTAATTCCATTCCTGTCTTTGCAACTACGCAGTGTGATGGAAATGAACCAGCTTAGAAACAGTGTCTTCCTGGGTCCAAAACTTGACTCACCAATTGCTATGCTGCCTTGGTCAAGTCACTTCTTTCTGTACCTCGGTTTCTTAACATGTAAAATAGATAATAATGCCTACATTGTAAGATTGTTGTAAGTCTTAAATGTCATCCATATGTTGTGCTTGCATGTATATATACATTTACTACTTTGAACAATACCAAATATATGTGGTGATGTGGTGAGCTTCATAGTTAATGATTACTGGTCTTCCCATAATGATGTGATTATAGTAGATAACTTGCAAGCTCCAAGAAGAGTCAACGAGTCAACATGTCTTGATTGTGGATCTCAACAACAGTTGCAGATTTACTGAGCATGTAATTCCCTCAGCACATTCCAAACTGAAATCAAAATAAGAAGACATGTTCTCTTTCATTTTATAAATACAGTCATTGTTTCCTTATCTTTATGAAACCCTCTTTTAAATGTTGACATACAAGTACTAATATTTGTTATCTTAACTCTTCCCTGTCAGACCATGTGGAACCCTCTGTATTTGGTTATAGGAAAGTTTATAACTTACAATAAAATTGGTGGTCATGTAACATGCTCTGGTGATCTCAGCTGTAGCCCAGAATACTGTTCTCAGGAATGGAAAAGGTGCCAGGGAGGAACAAAAGAGCCAGCAGATGATTCTCTCTTTGAAGAATCTCTGCTACGAGGAAATATGAAAGGGGTAGATCCTCCCTACAGCTAAAGTGCTCATCACTGAAAGCCAGAGCCTTCTGAGTGGCTAGATAAGAAGTCCGGGATTCATAAGCACTTCCAGGAGAACACCTACTTCCACAGGTCCCCTAGTACTGAAAGATCACTAGCTGGCTCCTGTCCTCTAGGAATTTTCTCCTCTTCATGCCAAGAACATTCTAAATGTGGAGGTGATTCATCACATGCTCTGTCAATCACTCCTTATTTCTGAAAAATATGCTATTAAATTCAAATGAATGGGATAAAGAGTTTGGGTTTAGGGAAGTATTAGGCTATCAGAGAACATTTCTAAAACTCAAAATTCTGCCACTACTTTCTGTTCATTCAGCTACTCATCAAATATATGGAATCCACCTTCTACCTTCTGGAAAGGAAAAGTATTGGATAATAAAACGTATGAACTTTACAACCTTATGCATTTGTCAACTAACTTAGAATCTGAACTCACAAGAAAGGTTTTGACAAAAAGGGATGAAATTTAAAATACACAAGATTTTTATAGACCAGTAACTCCCCCCAAACAGATTATTTCTAAAAATTAAAGTTAGTTTTCACTTTTTTCTAACATATAGCTCCTAGATGCTCCTGATAGTTAATTACTAGCTATAGTCCGTTATGGCTTCTAAAACTTTGAAAGCAGACTTCTGCTCAGTAACTATCTTAATGTAATTTTCTTTTCTGATTCTCTTTCTCTCTCTCTTTCTCTCTGTTTCTTTCTCCTGCACACATGTACACATGCACATACACATACACATACACACACACACACACACACACACACACACACACTACATCCATGACCACGTGGACAATGAGAACTTTGGTCTATTGTGATGCTGACTGAAAAGTAAGGAGGCCCTCCCCAGCTAATGAGTTGATTTGCAGCTTTTCACCTGTACAGTAGACCATAACCAGATAACCATTCCTTTAGGCTTTCACTTTCAGTAGAGTGATCAATAACCTACAGGGGAACTCAACTCTTTGTTGTCAAATAGGTGTCCAGTAGGTTACTTGTACTAAACGTATTATTGAAGTACAGTACTTTCAACATTTTCTGGATTTGTTAGGACAAAGCCCCTTCAGTTGGGAAGCATCTATATTTCCTAGTAGATCTTACAAGATTTTTAAAAAGTTTTCTTAATGTTTAATTCATTTTTCTGTAATTCTAAGATTGTCTCTATTTTATGCCTTTATCTCCTTTTGAGAAAGACACTAACTAGAAACCAGCCTTTACTGCACTTTTTATTTCAAAATGCTTATTTAAAATCAACATCATTCCCTCTTGAAGAATTCCTTTCTGTTTACCTGGAAAGATAAAGCACTAATTTTATCTAAGAATAGAATGAGATGTACATGTTTGTTTACTGAGTAAATAAGCTTCTATTTATAGACATAATTATTGCTTTCATTAGATTAGGATTAAGAAAATAGGAAAGATTGTCTCATTTTTAGTGTACTAAGTTTTACATATGGGGTTGCAGTATTTTGTTCTTAAATATAACATCCAACTTCTCTACAGTTAATATTACCTGAACCCCTTCAATGCCCATCATTCAAAATTTAGCACATTTTAAAGGGTCCTAGGATTCATTCTAACAGTTAAAAAGCAAAGGCTTTTGGAGCTATGGTCCTTAAAACAAACAACACCCCAAAACATATTGCATAAAGCACTAAAAATATAATGTATAGTGCTAAAAGAACACTGTATATTTTATCTGTATAATATGTATGTGTGCAATAAGGAAGAATAAAACACAGTTGCAAACAAAATTAAGGACATATGATTTGCTAATTTGTATTTTCAAAGAAATATAAAATTTATTAACATTTACTATGCATTTAGGGAAACAATAAATATAATGGGTAGATATTAATTTCATTATTATTTTACAAGGTAAGGAAATTGTAGTCTGGTGAGATCCTATAACTTTTCCACAGTCCTTCAGTTTGTTAGTGATCTTAGTAAATGGCATTTTGCAATAAAGGCAGTTAAAATTCAGATTCCATTCTCTTAAACACAAGGGACATCCTCATTCTGCCTACATCATGCTGAACATCTATTATAGCTGCTTTTATGCAAACAGTTTTTAAATATTTGTAAATTAGACACTATTTCTGAAACTTTCTGTTTATAATTCAACAAACTTATGACTGTTCGTTTATTCAACTAAAATAAAAATTGAAACAATCTTCAATTTGCCAAAGGCCAAGTGAATTTTTTTTTATATCTCCTTAAGAAATAAAGATGAGACCACCCTCTGCTTCCCTGGGCTTGCAGGAAGTGCTGCAGGCTCTCTCCTACCCACAGGCCTCTCTCTGGGGTAAGTCCATTGCACCCTCCCCGCTTTGACTCCCCCAGCCTCATTCACCCTCCCATCTCTGCTGCCATTCTCTCCTCCGAGTTTGGGTCCTGCCCCATTCCGTCTTAGGGCCCCAGACACCAAGGGAACCAAAACTGCTCCCTGATGCTTTTCATCCAGATCAAAGTAGTGCCTTCTCTGGGCCCTAGGAGCCCTGCTTCTGGACCTGGCCCCACCCTGAACTCCCTCTGCTTCCCTTGGCCAGCGTCTTTCTGGGACACTGTGGCTGACCTTTCCTCTTCTTGATCCTTTGCATTCAGACCAACCCAGCTCCTCAATGAAGTCCCCAGGAGGCCTTGGGTCCTATTCTGGCCCCATTTGCCTTTGTATCTCTTGGCAGCAGGCCAAAGCAATCTGGCCATTCCAATATAAAATCAAAAGAGAGAACCAGAA